TGAACACCCCCTTGGCTTATCCTGTGATGAATAAAATAAAACAAAAAGACATTCCTCCCAGTTCTTCCAGCTTCACAAAAGGCAAGAAAACACCATTGTAAGACTGTTTACCAGGTCTGCACTATGCACCTACCACATCAGCCAGACAGAGAAGTGTGACAGTATAACTTCCCATCTCACTGGAAGCCTATAGCTGGAGGCAGCCTCAGGAAACCTAGAGGTGTGGACACACCTGTGCCCAAGAGCTGCCAAACCATCTGGTCCATTGGCAAGCTCTGTTGGCTCTCCTTCAAAATGTGGCCCTCAATCTGAGCACTTCTCAACACCTCCACCACTGTCCCTGCTCCAGGTTACCACTTCCAATGCTGGACAACTGCCCTGCCTGTGTTTGTGAATGAATGAACAAACATCAAGGTGGGAGAGTAGAACTCCATTCTTCTCTCCATACAGACAATAGTTGACCCGGCCCCAGGTCTAGCCTAGCAAGCCCTCTGACTTGTTTCAAAGACTTATGGGGTCACAGAGTAGAAAGCAGTTTGAGAGGCAGAATGGCCAGCAGAGATGTACACTGCACTACACATTCAGAACCCCCTCCAGGAAGGGAGGACATATTGCCAGCTGCTGGGAGTCCCCTGGGAAGGCAGCCTCCACCTACAGCAACTGCTGGCAGAAGAGGGCTGCCTCATTCAAGGCCACATATTATTCCCTGGGATACAGAGAACCAGCCCCCTTGTCTTGGCTCAGAACAACTATAAAGGACCATCCTAGACTCCAAAGTTCCCAAGAGGCTACTGAGGTGTAACTGAGGTTACACCTGCACCACAAAGTTTCTCCCTCACCTCAGTCCTTTTTCCTCCCTTTCAGTCCACGGTCACTCCCATGAATGGTTCCCAGGAATGCCTTGCCCACTGACCTCCACCTCAGAGTCTGAGTTCTGCAGAACTCAACATGCACCACTGGCAAATAGGGGTGATGCTTATCTTGGAGGATGGATTTATTTGGGTTCTATATCAGTAAATTACAGCCCATAGGCCAAACATGACCCATTGCTATTTTTGAGTAAATAAAATTTTATTGAAAACAGCCACACTTTTATGACTGCAGTAACAGAGGTAAGTAGTTGCTACTTATAGCCTGCAAAGTCTAACACATTTCCTATCTGGCCCTTTTCAGAAAGAGGAAGTGAGGGAGGGAGGGAAGGAGGAAGCCATCCTAGTTCTAGATCATTAAATTAAAAAAGCACATTTGTAAAATAAGGGCTCTTCAAATGTCTCCTGGCCTCTCTAGAAAGAAGTCCACCTAGAGTTGAGTCTAATGAGCCTTCTGCCTCACAGGTAGGCTCAACATGTGCACAGTTTTCTCTTCCCTTGAGGGGCGTAAGCAAAATAAAACTCACCACTAATAGGTCCAACTAACTACGCCATCAGAACATACCAGACACAGCACTCACTCAGTGACCTGGCAGGGACTTCTTCCTTCCAGTTATTCACATCTTTGCTGACTAGTGACTTTAAATACCACAAGAACATCTCAGACCAATGCCATCCGAGCCTGTGCACTGACAGGGGCCTACTGACATGGAGAGCCCACAACAGAGCAGGAACACTTGGGCAAACAGGTGTGGACAGAGTGTTCCTTGTATCTTCTCTTATAGCATCTAACGCCAGAAGATTTTGTTTTATCTACTTGAATGTCTCAGAAAGTGAGAGAGCTTCTGAGCTGGGCCATGAATGCACACTGATATTGGCAGTAAGGTATCTAAGTCAATAGCGTTTCAGGCATGCACACCCAGTGAAGTCCGAACCACTGGGATCAATCAATACTGGATATCCCACAGAGCAGCACAAAGAACTGGATTTCAGGGCGGGAAGAATTTCTGAGCCAATGCTTGCAATTAAACTGCATCAAATGACATGACCTATCACATCTCATCAGAAATTCACTTGTAGCTTCCTGGCCACTACATGCTGGTATTGCTCCACATAACATGTGAACAGTCTTCAAGTACCACCTCCCACAGTGACAGTGGAGAAGGGTCTGTTACTGAGAGTTACCAACGTCCTAACTCCCTGCACAGGGTATCTCTGGCAGGGACACAGGAGGAGCTAGATACACAGCTCAGGGACTTAACAGCCACATGGACTCGGGAAAATCGCCTAATCTTCAAGCCACATTTATGAAATCATCTGCAGAATGGAGTAATGATGTGCTCTTTGAAGAAGGTTGAATGACGTAAAATAACTGACATCGAGGATAGCCTTCATCTAGGATTTTTACAACATACTGTGGCTGCAGATAAGATGAGGGTAACAGCAATATTGGTGAAATTCTTTCTTATAGATGTGGGAATTTGCCCACCTCCATAGCATTAGCAGGATGCTTACTAACAGTAAAGATAAAACATCACAGGTTAAGAAGATGATCAAAGACAGTACCAATTCCTAAGCCTCAGCCCCCAAGGAAAACAAGTACCCAGGGTGCAGTAGACAGAGTCTAAGGAAGTGTTGGCAGAGACCCATTTCCCTATTCTTAGTAATCTTTCTGGGTGTGTAACCTGGAGGCTCAGGCAAGACTACACTCTGTAGGACTTTCTGCCCAATGACCTAATGACTAGAACTAAAATAGCCTCAACTCCATTTGTAGAGTCTCCCAGGCAGTTCCTGTGACGGAGCTGATGTCAACAAGTCAGCTTAAAGAGGATCCTGCTCAGGATGTATTTTGAAATTCTTCAGACAAGAAGAATCAGATTCAGTCACTACAAAGTATGAAGACCACTAACAAAATGGGTAACACCACAGGATGCTGTCAAGAATACTTCAGATGTAATTATGGTTTCAGACAGGAAAATACAAACTGTTCCTTAGTCTTAATGAGCAGCACCACGGTCTGGATGCACTTGCATTAAGGTGAAAAGGCTCTGTCAGCACTGTGGGTCAGCAAGCACACCCTTGAAACATGGTGTACATTGTTCCAGGACAGACTGTGGTCATTAGAGTCAACAAGTTGTGCTTATGAATTTCAAGCAAGAATTCTACAGCAGGAAGACGAGTGCTTTCTCATCACTGGAGAAGAAATACAGTCAACTGAAAACTAGTTTCTGAGTGAGAGCTTGCACTAGCCCAAGAGTGTGCACGTGTGCATCTGTACATATTGGAGGCAGGTGCCCCAAACAATGGGCCTCAAGGCACTATGGCTTTGTACATCACAATAAAGAGACCCAGAGTCACAAGGAGCTTTTTCCTTTTAAAGATTCCACTTTGGGCAGGTAGAGCTAGAATGTTTTTAAGCGTGAAGACCTTCAGAACAACCAGTCCATCTCCTGATCTAGTCACCCAGAGGAGGAAATCAGCTGATGGCATTGCTTGTTCATTCTCTACACTAGAAAACAAGAGACTGGCAACTCTAAAAAGGCATCCACGGCTCCCCTGGCCTTGTGGGTCTTTACTCAGATGATGGGATGAAGCCAGGTGACCTACAGTGCTCCAGATGTGAGTCTTTGGACTGCATGATTGTTCTGAGGGATGTCAGTGTGTAAGGAGTTAGCCTTCACTATTTGTTTAAGGAAATCCCTCATAGGTGTAGCCACTTGTAAAGCCATAATCAAAAACCTTCTCTGCACCAAGCCAAAAATAATTTGGGGGAATTTTTCTCTGTTCTTGCTCCCCTGCTCTGAGATGGATGTTTGAGATCTGGCTCTAGTTTATTTTTAAAGAGCCTTTGGTGAAAAGTGCTATAAATCCACATTACTATCTCACATCACGAGACACAGTACGTAGACAAGGATGTGCTTCCACTAGGGTAGCACACGACAGAGCAGGTTGTCTATTTCTGGAATCTTCATCAATAAGGAAGATGAAGTGCTGAGCTGGAGCAATTTCTTTAAATACTAAAGTGGGGTTTATCTTTGGAACATGGATGGCTGCATATATTTTCCTTCTTGCACTAAGTCTGTAAGACTCAGAGGCATTTCAACAGTTTAATCAATCTGAAAGCCGTATCAAAATTGCTTTAAAAATCTCTGAGCATTCAATATATCTACACTTGTTAAAATTAATTACATCATTTAATGTTTCTATGCACGTTATAGTTTTAAATGTTTAACAGTCATTTTTATTAATTAATAAAGCTTTAATGGACAAAAACTGTACCATAAAACTATCATGCATATGCTGCATTTTCAATTTTACTACTATTATCTTTAAATATTTCCCCCAAGTGGAAAGTCACTAATTCATAAACTAGTCTCTTTCTCAGAAAGTAAAGCTGCAAATTAGTTTACACAGATACAGAAAAAAATATGGCTGCTTTCCTCCAAAACAGACCTGTTTCTTTCCCTGATCTCCCAAGAAAGGTGAAGGGTTCAGGGAGTCCATCTTGGGAATTTCACCTGGCCTTGCAAATGGTAGAAACAGCAGTGAGCCCAGCCAAGTTGTCCCAGAAGACACAAATCAGGACAGAAAAACACTTTTCTTTCTGGTTTTCGTAAGAGTCCCCAACTCTCATGAAAATGTCCTGTGGTTACTGCAGACACACACATACTCCATTATGGAGCTTTTGATATTTATGATGGTAATTCCATATGATTGAAAAGTAAAACATTCAGCATTTTGGACAATCCCAAATATGCAGATGTTTGACACAAAAGAGACAAAAAATCTGGCTGTGGATGGCCTTTTATTCTTCTCACCTCAATTTGGAACATGATATGGGCACAGTTTAAATTAGCTTCTTTGGGAACCATGCATATGAACTGGCACTATTATTGCAAACAAAAATTTAATGGAAGGTCTCTCATAATCTACAAAAGTCTCATCTAAGAAAATCTATCCAATCAGACACTAATATTGAGCTAAGAGCTGTCAACTTTGAACAGAGCAGATCAAAGAAACTCTACTTCAAAATGCCGGTTGGAACAGATTATATAGAAGAACTTCTCTCACTATGCCCCATGGCAGGGCATTTACATAAACCTCCCACCTACAGATGGAAGCTCTACTCACCTGCCCTGTAGCTCCAGCCAGGAATGTGAATGGACAGTTGGTCAGCATGACCGCTGGTGTGATGAGGTGCATGGTCTTCTTTCCCTTTTGTTACAGTGAGCTGGTTAGTTCCCACATCTGCAAATTCTGTCTTTTCCAATGAAGGAGAGCCACTCCAAGGGCATGTGCCAGTCCCCAAATGCACCTGTCCCAATGATGGTTTCGAATGACTTTCTTGTGGTGCTGAGCTCTGGTGTGGGGCTGGGAGGTTCTGGTTTCCCTCCCTGAGATCCTGCTTTAGGGCTCTGTTTATTGGTTCTCTGTTAGCTATGCCATCTACTCCATCTGCTGTTAGCCTGTGGGAACTACAGTTGAGGTTGAGCGACAGGACGGATCTATGCATTTTGGGGCTGGCAATTGGAGGGTGTGCAATGGGAACAGAGAGTGACTTGTCCAAGTAGTAGACAGCATTGGGACACTGCCGAGACACCTGGAAGTGGACACAGGAACTGAACATCAGTGGGCCCTTTCCTGATGGTGGGATATCTGGAGAAAAACTGGCTTCTTTGTCACCTACATGTGTGACCCAGTACTCGTGTCCCACACACAGCTTTGCATGGGTCTCAGGAACCTTCAGCTTCATGGAGCCATTTCTGGGAAATTCAGAGCAAGCAAAAGGAACATGGTGTTGACATGGATGGGCTCCACCAGCCAGGGCTGAGGAGCTCCGGAGCAGAGCATTCTCGGCCCTGTACTTGGGACACAGCGAATCCTCAAGAGTGCCCCAAACCAGGGCACTGGCTGGGGGAGCCACACGCCGGGCAGTGATGGTGATGGATGTGAAACCTTTGCGAGGGTCGCCACCTGGGCTCTCCCCTGTGAGCAGCAGTTTGGTCTCAGGTCTTCGCTCATCTGACAGGGTTGGAATTCCCAATCTGTCTGGAAGTAACGCAAATGCCCTGTGGATGTTGACTCTGCTGAGATTAGTAGGAGCCGGCTTTGTGGGACACACTCGAGGCCGAGCGATTGCACAGGGCAGGGGCAGCGTGGCCCCATTTTCTTTTGATTTATTCTTATCAATCAGCTGTGAAATGACGATGGATGAAATCATTTTTGCGTTTTGTGATGCAAGCCTCTCCTGCAAATGAGAAAGAATCCCAATTATCCAAGCAGTCCATCATAGTACAGGCAGTGAACACTCCAGGGCCACCGGGATGCCTTGGTTTCTCATCTAAGGCCTTTTACTGCACACCTGACACTGAGTCTGAGAGTTCAGAAGGGTAAGAAACCCTTCTGTTTAGGAGAAAGTTACATGTCTTCAAATATCAGCCTAACTGACATCAATGAGTATCATCAAATTTTGATAATCACCTCCACCAGACTTGGAACTCTCACAAAAAAGTTCACAGCCTCAATAAGAAGGAAGAATTCTGGAGGTGAGTGGGACTTGGGAGGAGGGTACTGGTTTATGCAGGCCATGAGTCAGCCCTCTGGTGACAGCAAATGTGGTTATAAGGAGCCCCTTCCTATCTCATCCCTCTCAAGTCCTGCACCTTCACTGTTTTAGACTAATGCAGTAGCTCCCTGCTACTTGGCACCACAGGAGTCTAAGATCAGAGAGCAAGACAATGGAAATCCAATGCCCAGGCCCTGACAATTACCAGGACAGCATTGTGACAATCAGGTGATTTCACTTCTTAGGATGGGGCCTGGGTAGACCAAGACTGATTAGAACTACTGACACAGCTTGCTGTGTCTCAATGCCTGGCTGCATAAGCGTGAGTTTTGTGCACTATTTTAAAATGGTCAGGGATTTCACGTCTTCCTACTCAGCAGGTTGTAAGTCCTAACAGTAAATCACTAGTGTGACCCAACTATGTGCTCTGATTTTTAATATAGCATCAAACCAGGTTAAGATCAAGAAGATTCTTCTGTCGTGTTTTTATGCTTACATTTAAAAAAAATTGGTACACAAGAGTGACCATACCTCAGTAGTGAATGTGCACAGAATCTGGGGCCCTGTTTTTTCACCCGTTAGTACAGGTCTTTAAAATGAACCCTTGTATGGAAATGCATGGGACCCAAACTCCAGTAACTACTAAGTTACTGCCCACTGCTTGCACAGAACCTTTGCTTTGGGAGCCCAAAGGCACAGCTGGGAAGCCTAGCAGATCTCCAACCCCAACATACAGGAGAACAACTGGGGACATTGCCTTCACAGGCTCCCAGCTCAGAGATTCTGGCTATGTAGGTCCTGGGTGGGGCCTGGGCACATGCCTTTTAACCCACATCCTGGTGATTCTGATGGATGTGATCCACAGAGAAGCACTGAGTCTCCGGGCTGCTGGTCATGTCAAGAGAATGCTTTTGGAGGGAGCATGCCTTCTTATGTTGAGAGCTGGGGTTTTTCTTCTCCCAAGATGTGACAAAGCAAGCAGGGTAGCATTTTTCTTTACCTCGAGGCAGGATTCAGACCCATTTGACCAAATAACTGAGTGTGCTCTAGCTGGACACCGAGCCCTGCACATCCACAAGGAGCCCAGCATGTGTAATCTGAGCAACCTCAGGGCCTTGCATCCTTCCTGTCAGGTGTGGGGAGATGATCAGCTTGCTGTTTTCCAGTATCTTTTATGTGGTTAGCTATTTTTAAAGATATACGTGAAGCCTAGGAAATGCAAAGAAGAAGAAATAGGTAGGAGAGTCATTTTAAAAACTACTCCATTGTTTTAAAAATCAAAATATCTCTACCATAAGGACAAAAATGAGGACATTCCACCTTCTCTTTCAGCCTCACTGCCACCTCCTGCTTCAAAGTCACACTCTGTGGGCACCTGGCTGGCTAGGAGCCTTGCTTTAGATGGAGCCCCCTGTTCCAGCATTTCTGAAGCTGCAAAGTCACCTACAGTTTGCTCAACCCTAGTATCTAGTATTCCTCCCCATACAAATTCCAGTAGAATCCCTGGGGCTGATGGCAAGCATCCATGTTATCAGCTTGCTATGTGATATTGGCAGGTGGCCCCATGCTTCTACAGCACTGCCCCTCACTCTAGCCCGCTCCCCATATCACTTTTCATAGCTTTGATTAACATACAAAAAAAACCTGCAATGCACCTGGTGCCCATTTTCAGGTACAAAGTCCCTCCCATTTTAGTTAAATTTAGTTCTGATAATTGTTCCCTCACACCTTGCAAGGTGTACAATCATACCCAGTAGGAACTCCTTTGACTGGTCCTTGGAGAGAAAAAACCAAAAATCCATCTTGGAAACTACTGCATTGGTCTTACTTTACAGCGCAATATTTCCCAAAGTTTGAAACAATGGATACTTGTGAGTATAGATTTCTGGGCCCCTCAATTCCCCAGGCTTGAGTCAAGTCAGGACCTATGGGCATACAGCCCAGAATCTGCATTTTTTACCACCTCTCAGGTGATTCTCCTGCACAGGCCACCTGGGGCCCATGCTGAAGTGGGGACTCCCAGACCAGCTACACAACCTCAGAAGGAGCTTGGTCTCCATAGCTGTAAAGGTGGAGCCTTGTGCTGCAATCTCCAGTGTCAAGAGGGCACCTCACGTTTTGGGCTCGGGATCCCATGACAGCCTCAGCATTGTAATAAACAAAAGTGTGTTGCAAGGGATGATGAGCTGTCAGCTCCACTTGGAGCTGCGACAAAAAGACCCTGACACTGGCAATAATGGCTTGGCTGCACATGTTCCAAGACAGACAGCTCCAGCCACAGCTTAGGTAGGCATGTGTTGAGGGTGGCCTGGGGCTGCAGGTCAAGAGTGTCACTCTGGAAAAACCTAGAAGTCCAGGGCGATGAGATAAGAGGTCAGCCACCATTTTATTACCAGAGGCCTGGCATATGTGACTATGATTTTGACGCTATCAAAAGCAATAAGGAAGAACAATAATGAACAGTGTGCATTTGAACTTATTTCTGAAGTTCTGAAATTGGGTTTTCAGGAATGTCAGCGGTGAACACTGTCCACTGGG